TGGGCTGTGTGTGTCTCTGTGTGTGTCTGTCTGTGTGTGTGTGTCTGTGTCCGTGTGTGACTGTGTGCTGTAGTGGGCTGTGTGTGTCTCTGTGTCTGTCTGTCTGTGTGTGTCTGTGTCTGTGTCCGTGTGTGATTGTGTGCTGTAGTGGGCTGCGTGTGTCTCTGTGTTTGGTGAGTGTATCTGTGTGTATCTTTGCGTGGGTGTGTATGTGTGTCGTGTGTTCTGTGTGTGGTACGTGCCTGTGTGTGTGGGATGTGCATATGAACGATACATGTATACCACTTCATAGCTAATGTACGTTATTTTCAGGAGGACAGGGCTTCCCGAGTAAGGAGCGCCCAAGCCCTGCCATCGCGGCCGTAGATCTGGGGGAGCCGTCGGCGGTCTCTGGTCTCCGGGTCCCTTGGCACACCCCTGAACGTGTCTCCTGCCCTTTGCAGGACAGCTGTGCTCAGTGAAGGACCTTGTACCCGCTACTGAGTAGGGACCATGGGCCTGCTCGCGTTCCTGAAGACCCAATTCATCGTACATCTCCTCATCGGCTTCGTCTTCGTGGTGAGCGGGCTCGCCATCAACTTCCTCCAGCTATGCACGCTCGTCCTCTGGCCCGTCAACAAGCAGCTCTACCGCCGCTTCAACTGTCGCCTCGCCTACTCATTATGGAGCCGTGAGTACCGCCCCTCGGAAGGGGGCCCGGCAGCAGTTAGGGGACGCGCCTTTCACGCCAGGTTAACTGCAGAGGAAGCCAGTGCCTCGCTCGCTGACACGCAGGGCTCCTTGAGAGGGGAGCGGACGTGCTCCTGAGGGCGGATAGGAAGGCCACGCGAGGGCTCACGTCGCGCCGGTGGGGACCTGAGGGGCTGCTCAGGGGGCCAGCCGACAGACGAGTGAACAGATGCTCAGTCCAGAACTGCTCCACGGGTTGAACCGTTCCAACATATGACCCTTTTGACCCACAGAAATGGCAGTTTCGTATAGTTAAACATGATACGTACTTTTTAAAACAGAGAAGAATAAAGTCAGTTCACTGGCCCCTGGCTTCAGCAGTTATCAGTACATAGCTAATCTTGTTTTACCTGTCCACCCAACCACTCCCAACCCCAGATTATCCTGAAGCAAACCCCAGATGGCATAGTGTTTTATCTGTAAATATTTCAGTTTGCATCTCCCAAAGAAAAATGCTCTTACATAACTCTTACGTAACTATATGTGTGTCTGTATCTGTCTATACGTGCTTGTGTTTGTGGGTATTTATACATACAAAATCAATTTTTACTTGTCAGATCGACACATTTAAAAACTTAGTAACACCCATTCTGTAGGAGTCCCTGGGTGGCGCAAACAGTTAAGCGCTCAACGACTAGCTGTAAAGTTGGCAGTTCTAACCCACCCAGAGGTGTCTTGGAAGAAAGGCTTGGCGATCTGCTTGTGAAAGTTCACAGCCTTGAGAACCCTATGGAGCACAGTTCTAGTCTGCACACATGGGGTCACCATGGGTCAGAATTGACTCGATAGCAACAACAGCTCCCACCGTGGACAGAGATGAACTTTCACACTCTGTGGGTTGGTGGGTGTCGAAAGGGGGACATCTTTTGACAGCAGCTATCAATAATTTACATGGTTATAATTTTGACCCAGTGATTCCCCAAAATAAAAATGTAACCTAGAGCGATATCTACAAAAGTACACACATATATATATGCATGGCATGTTCATTTAATCAGTTTTATATTAGAACAGTACTGGCAGCAACCTAAAAGCCCATTAATGGAGACTAATTAATTAAATTATGGTATGCCCATACAATGGGATTATATGCAGCTATTAAAATGAGAATAATCTCTGTTTACAGATATAGAACCATCTTTAAAATACATTTTTAAGTAAAAAAAGGAAGGTATATAACCACATACGTAACATGCTACCATTTAGGGTTTTTAATGTAACTTGTATGCCGTATGTATGTATTTTTTGTGCATTTCTGTACGTGTACAGAACGTTTGGAAGAATGTACAAGGAAACAGAATAGTGATGATATTCAGGGAGTAAGGAAAAAGGAGGACTTACTCTTCATGCTGTTGTGCTGCTTAAATTTTTTTTTTTTACATGAGAATGTATTTCTTTTATGATAAAGAGAAAATAAAATGCATTTTATTTTAAATGGGAAATTGTGGGTCTGTATACCTGTAGGGTCACTACAAGCGGGAATCGACTGGATGGCAGTGGGTTTGGTTTTGCTCCCAATTCAGGAGCAATGTAAGGGAATGCTGCTGAAAAGGCTGTTTAGGTCCACAAGGCTATATGCTGTGACTCCCATTGTCCTTCAAGAGATCAGTAACCTAGCCCTTAGTTTTAGGCTTGCCTTAAACATATAATAGTTTAAATTCCTCCTGAACATGTCCCCCGTCCTTTCCAGGATGGATGTTGTCTGTTGTCTTGTCTTTTCTCGCCTTCAAAGGAAAAGGCTACTTCTTTTTTGTAGGAAAGGAGAATTAGAAATCCTACAATATAAGATGGAAAACTTGGTGGTGCAGTGATTAAGAGCTCAGCTGCTAACCAGAAGGTCGGCAGTTCGAATCTACCAGGCACTCTTTGGAAACCCTATGGGGCAGTTCTCCTCTGTCTTACAGGGTCGCTAAGAGTCAGAATTGACTTGATGGCAGTGGGTATAATGTAAGATAGACAAATGAGTTATTCATGAGTATAACTGGGTAAGATTAATGCATGTAAAAAGGGAAAATGATAATAAAAGCTGAATTATAGCCTTCCACTTCAGCAGTATTTTAAAGAGTCCTCTGCTACCCAAAAGCTAAATTCTGGTTAAAACAGACTTTAATGTGTTACTGGGTTCACAGTAAGTAAAGGAAATCTCTCAGGCTTCTCCTCATCCCCTTCAGAAAAAAAAGGAGAGGTGTAGAAATAGAGTATCAGCATTGCCTACCAGGAGCCTAAACCTTATCCAGCTGTAGTAGAGGAAACTGAATCCAAACCAGGACTCTTGTAGATGGCTTAAGCGGAGCCAGGTTAGCGTTGCCCTTTGGGTTCCCACAGAGGCAAGCAGAAACACACTCTGGGAGAGAACATCTCTAATTTAGGCCTGAAGAATCCCACAGATTAAGATCAATCCGATGTGAACCTATAGTCAAAATCAACACACATACGACAGTAGATGTAGACAAAAGACTACCAGAAGTGACCAGATTTGAAGAAGAACCACATAGAACATCTGTAAATAGAAATTGTGGTTATGGAATTTTTAAAGTATATTTTTTAATTTAATGAATAAATTTTACATTAGATTTGACACAGTTAAAGAGAGGGTTTTCGAACTGGACATAAATATGAAGAAATAATCAGGAGTAGCCAAGAGTGACAAGGAGATGAAAAATATGATATAGGAGTTAAAGGCATACGGATAAAATGAACAAGTCTCTAAAACAGGTGTCATCCTCCTGTTTCAGAATGAGAAAATAAAAGAGAAACAGCATTGGAAGAGATGATGACTGAGAATATTCCTGAATTTTTGAAAATCGTGATTTCGCAGATATAGGAAGAAAATGTATACCAGATGGGATAAATAAACAGAAATTCACACCTAGACACATCGTAGTGAAATCAGAAACCACCAGAAGACAAAGAGAAGTTCTTAAAAATACCCAGGGAGAAAAGATAGAGTGCCTATAGATGATTGACAGACTGACAGCAGACTTCACACAACAATAGGAGCCGGAAGACAGTGGAATATCTTCCACATGCTGAGAGAATCAACTCAGAATTCTATACCCAGCAAAACAATCTTGCAAGAATTAGAACAAAATACAAGCATTGTCAGGTAAACAAAAATTGAGAGCATTCTTCACCCACCAATCCTAAACAAGTTTGTAAAGGATGCACTTTAGTAAGAACAAACACAATAATAAAAATAAGATCTGAGTTGCAGGAAGAAATGGTAGCCAAAGACATGAGTAAACAATCATATAATGCCCAAAATCAATTGTAGATGTATTGCAGTTTTAAAAGTAAAAGTCAGAACTTTAAAAACTCATAAAAGAAAATATAGAAAAGTAGTCTGATACCCTCCAAAGTTAGGAAGGATTTCTTGAAACTCACAAACACCATTGTGTGAACTTTCACTTGGTTCTGGTTAAAAACAAACAAATAAGCAAAAAACTATGAACATTGTAGAAATGACAAATTTTCTGTTACCTATCTACTTACACACACACACACACAAGAAAAAAAAAAAAACTATAAAAGATTTTTGGGGAATAATTGAGATTACTTATAGTCTAGATATTAGAAGATACTAGGGAATTTTAAAACTTTTTCGGGGTGGCGAAGATATTATGAGCACATCAGAAAAGAGCTTTATTCCTAGGAGATGCACTCTGAAGGGAGTAAGATGTCATGATGTTTGCAGCTTCCTCTGAAGTGGCTCCACACACACATACAGCAAGTAGGACAGAGCGTTGAATCTAGGTGGTGCGTCTGTGGTCCTCATTATAATATTCTTTCTTTTTGAGTATTTTAATATTTTCATAATTAAACAAACAAAAAAAACTTTTTTCTAACCTGAACTTGGCATCCTGCTAGCACAGCTGCCCGCCCCTACACCAATCCATTTTTCTAGAACTCACGACTCCACGGAGCCCTGGTGGCGCAGCAGTTAAGAGCTCAGCTGCTAACCCAAAGGTCGGCGGTTGAAATCCACCAGCGGCTCCTTGGAAACCCTGTGAGGCAGTTCTGCTCTGCCCTATAGGGTTGCTATGAGTCGGCATCAACTTGATGGCAACATTTTTTTTTCCCAATGGGAATGGCTCCATATGTGAAGAAACTACTCAAATATTTTGGAAGAAAGTGATTGCTTATAGGGGAAAAGATGATTTCTGTCAAACTTTCTTAACCATGTATTTAAAATATTATGAAATTTCACATTTGCTTACATGAAAGACTGACTTTCTTTCTGGGGTGTTGTGTAAGTTTCGCTGTAACAAAGTACCACAAACTGGTGGCTTACACTAAAAATCTATTCTCTCACAGTCTTGGAGGTCAGAAGTCCTAAATCAAGGTGTCCGCAGGGCCATGCTGCCTCCAGAGACTCTGGGGGAGAATCCCTCTTGCCCGTTTCAGCTGGTGGTGGCTCCAGGCATTCCTTGGCTTGTGGCGGCATCACTCCATCCTCTGCCTCCATTTTCACACGGCCATGTTCCCTGTGTTTGTGTCTTCTCCTCTTCTGTCTCTGAGGAGGATACTTGTCATTGGATTTAGGGTCTACTGGGATAATCCAGGATGATCTCACTCATAGTCCTTAATTACAGCTGTCAAGATCCTTTTTCCAAAGAAGGTCGCAGTCACAGGATGAGGTTAGGACGTGTGTCTAACTCTTTAAGGGCCACCATTCAATCTACTACAGGTATATAATGTCACGTCCAGGTTATTCGTGTCTACTCTCCTTTCTCCCAAATTCTGAAATCCAGAAGTCCTGAAAATAGAAAGATTTTCATAGATTTGGTGGAGTCTCATCCAGAGGCGAAACCTCACGTGGACTGGTGTGCATCTGTTTCTAGTTGGTGTCCCTCTTGGTCTGCAGAAATACTGATAGGTAATTGTGGGCTGCTGCCCCTGCTCCCCTTGAGGCGGCTTTGTCATGTATGGTAATTTGTACTGATTACCTTTCTAAAATCGGAAAAACCTGCCTTCAGAGATGTACCTGCCTGCAGGACTGTGGATTCAGACCGTGGTCCTCCACTGACCATTTTAGATAAGAAAACAACGGCAAACCTTTCCCCATTTTAGGGGGAGACAAAGATAGTTGGGTAAAAGAAGAATCAGTTGGTTCTTTCCAGGTTCAAATAATGTGGGAGGGACGGAGGAGGATGTCAGGAATAGGCATAATCACACAGAAAAGCACCGCCTTCCCTTAACTGTGAGGCCACGTGACCTAGTGAATCTGGACAAGTTATCCACTTGTTTCTTTCTTTAAATATACCAGTAGGAAAAACCAAAAAACCCAAACCCATTGCCGTCGAGTTGATTCCGACTCACGGTGACCCCAAGTGTTACAGAGTAGAACTGCTCCTTAGGGTTTTCTTGGTTGTAATCTTTATGGAAGCAGATCTCCAGGCCTTTCTTCTGTGGCACCACTGTGTCAGTTGGAGCAGCCAGCCTTTATCGCAAGCCATTTGCGCCCCCTAGGGCTCCATAATAGTAGGGGCCCACCTCAAATGAGATCTAAGTGGAAGCCTTTCCCAAGTTCACTAGGCATATGGTAAAAGCTGGAATCACATTCTTTTTTAATATCACTGAACCACTGTTTCATTTTTCACTCTTTATCCCTATTCTCATTCCTTTTATTTTATAAAAGGCCATCAAAACTCATTTCTAGCAGAAAATTTCCCTGTGGATGAAACTCCTGAAAAACGCCCCTGCTCCAGGTCCTCTTCAAGCATGTCACAGAGCGGTGGTGGCACTGACCCCAAAGCCGGACACTGCCTTCCCGTAGTTGGGGTGGGGCAGCGCCTGGCTCAGTGCTCTGCGGGCGTGGGGGCGTCGTGCCCCGCAGTGTGCCAATGCCCCCGCTGTGTCCGCAGAGCTGGTCATGCTTCTGGAGTGGTGGTCATGCACGGAGTGCACCTTGTTCACGGACCAGGCCACGGTAGACCACTTTGGGAAGGAGCACGTGATCATCATCCTCAACCACAACTTCGAGATCGACTTCCTCTGTGGATGGACAATGTGTGAGCGGTTTGGCGTGCTGGGGGTGAGCAGCTAGGCAGGGGCCCCGGGACGGTGCTGGGGGGCTCCCCGGGGCCTGGAGTCTCCTGCTCGGGTTCTCCTCCACGCGCGCTCCTGGGCCCCTGGTTCCCGTGGGTCGGTGTGCCAGCCGTGCTGGTGCTGATCTCTCCTGCGTTGCCTGTTGCTGCGTTTCTCATCGCGGACTCTGCTTGTCATGGTCCCTGCACTTCAGTGCCACAGCACTACCACAGGTAGCTCAGGTACCCTGGGGGAAGTTAGATGGTAGCGCCAAGGCAGGAGAGAAATCCCATGGCAGCAGGAACCTCTGTACATCCCAGCGTTCCCAAGCCATCTCAGGAAACACCGTGGCTGTGCACGGAGCAGGGACCCAGGAACCCACACACTCTCTGCACCCGGGCCTCTCACCGCATGGATTGTCACACCACTGACATACTGAGCCTCAGTTTTCCTGTCTGTAGGATGGGTGCATACACTCATGGGTAGTGCTGATCCGAATGGCCCCACACTCAGGTGCCAGGGCCTCCCCATTTGCCCGCAAATACCCTGAAGCAGGGAGGCCAGGACTCACAGAGGGACGCTGAGTATGCCCCAGCCAGGCCCTGCCATCCCTGTGTGCCCTTCATGTAACTGCCGAGCTAACTCGGCTCCTGCTCTGATGCGATATGCAAATAATCATGGTCCTCCTTCCCGTCCTTCAGAGCTCCAAAGTCCTTGCTAAGAAGGAGCTGCTGTACGTCCCCCTCATTGGCTGGACATGGTACTTCCTGGAGTTCGTGTTCTGCAAACGGAAATGGGAGGAAGACCGGCAGACTGTGATTGAAGGGCTGAAGCGGTTGTCTGACTACCCCGAGCCCTTGTGGGTAAGTCACCACGTGGCTCCGGAGCAGCCCTGTCACAGGGCAGAGGAGGTGCGGGGACCTAAGGGAAGGTGGCAGGAATGAGCACCCCCACTGGCTCTGAGAAAACCATTCCTTTCAACTTGATTTTAGAGGCCAGACCTGGTGGCGCAGTGGTTAAGAGCTCAGCTGCTAACCAAGGTTGGCAGTTCGAATCCCCCACCCGCTCCTTGGAAACTCTATGGGGCAGTATAGGGTCGCTATGAGTCGGGACTGACTCAGTGGCAATGGGCTTGGTTTTTGGTACCAGTTCTCTGACATACCCATGCCCAAGTCACAGCTTTTAAAACTCCACCAGCGCCTCCTGAAGACCGGGAAGAGTATTTCTCATCAGAGGACAGGGCTCCCTCCTGGTCGGATCCTCGGAACTTCCTGAGGCCACCTGCTGCAGCTCCCCTTTCTGGCCCCAGTTTTGACCCAGAGCACCCTAACAGAGCCCAGGGCGAAGGAGATGAGAGAGGGGCGCCCTCTTGGAAACGTGTGACTGCCGCCACGGGCCAGCTCGGAGCAGGGATGCAGGGCCGCCGTGGGTTTTTACGTGTTTCTTCTGAATAGAAGTTTGTTTGAGAAGCTGGTTAAGTTCTCTGTTTGAGCAGCCTCTTCTACAGAGAAGTTTTTCGTGTCATGATTGTGCTCTCCAGGTATAAGTTCCAGGGCAAATCCTAGTGATTTCCACTCTGTCTGTAAATTTCGGCTTTAATCCATCACCACACCAGTTACTGTCGAGTCGACCCGATGTGTGTCAGGATAGAACTGTGCTCCATAGGGTTCTCGAGGGCTGGTTTTCCAGAAGTAGATTGCCAGGCCTTTCTTCTGAGGTGCATCTGGGTAGACTCGAACCGCCAACCTTTTGTGTAGCAGCCAAGCATGTGAAGCATTTGCAGCACCCCAGGACTCCTCTGCTTTGATTGATAGAAGATGTGCAGTCTGTTGGAAAACACCCTTTGACTCCACAGCAGGCGAGGCGGGGAGAGGGAGCAGGCCCCCGTGGGTGTTTTGGCACCTCTCAGATGGCGCTTGATAGGACAGCATCTGACGTTGCTGACATCAGCGGGTTTGCCTGTCATTTCTTTCTCTCGTCTTTCCTTTGCTCTGTGACCGTCGTTTGAGAACTGGCCCCTCGTTCAGCATCTCTAGCTCTGATGTTATTGTGAATGGATACCTTTTCTGTTTTCCCATCAAAGCAGACGCTGCTGCCCAGAGGCATCTTTGTGTTTTGTTTCTTTCGGGAACGTGGCGTTTTGCATCCTTTGACAGTAAGTGAAATACAGGCATCTGCCCTATAAGTGGATCGTGGTGACGGGCGGACCTCAGCCCTAAACAAGTCACCTTTATTTCAAAGGATGCCACATGCTTGTCACTAGAGCGGCTCTTTGCTTTCTGCCAACTCAGTAGTGAACATTCTGTCATCCTTCTCAGCCACATGTGAGAAGGTTCTGGGCCGGTGAGGCTGTTGGTCCCGGCACGCCTGGGCCCTGGGATCACCAGCGCTTCCCGCTGTGTCCTCTGTCCTAGTTCCTGCTGTACTGCGAGGGGACGCGCTTCACGGAGACAAAGCACCGCGTCAGCATGGAGGTGGCTGCCGCCAAGGGGCTAGCCCCCCTCAAGTACCACCTGCTGCCTCGAACCAAGGGTTTCACCACTGCAGTCCACTGCCTCCGGGGGACAGGTAGGTGCCGTGGTCACAGACCCGCGTTCCTCTATGGGCTCTGGAGGCGAGTGCAAACTGAAAACAGCGATTTGTTTAAAAAAAAAGAAGCGGTAGACATTTCTCGGTTGTGTGCCGGTAGGGGGGTGAGGGAGGCAGTAAGTAGGGGGCTCACAGCCGAGCTTGTGTCTGTCCCACAAGGATGACACTGGTCTGTGGCCCGGTGAGAGGGGGCTTCACGTCTCCCTGGCTGCTCACCTGCCTTTGTCTCCTCAGTCACCGCTGTCTACGATGTCACGCTGAATTTCAGAGGGAACACGAACCCGTCTCTGCTGGGGATCCTCTACGGGAAGAAGTACGAGGCCGACATGTGTGTGAGGTGAGTGCGGGCGGGCGTCAGCACGGGTGGGCGTGCCCTGCCCACCGCCCCCACCCCTGAGTGTGTGTGTGTGAGAGTGTGTGTGTGTTGGGGGGTGGGGGGTGTGTTCTGTGTGGAGAAGCTGGGGAAACTGACGCCCACCTGCTGCCGCCCGCCCCCCGACGCTTCATGGAGCCTGAGCCTGGGCATCCAGCACGCACTCCCTGAGGCCTGGAGAGGTGGCTCAGCCAGTCACACCATGGACTCTCCATCCGTGTCACGCAGCCCCCACCTCCTCCCAGCCCCAGCTCCCCACGTCTCAGGCTGCTCCTACACCACACACACCACAGACGCAGGCGCAGCACCAGGGTAGGTACTTGGAATACAGCACCGGTTAGGACCGTTCCCACCATCACGGACGTACAGACGAAGGGACAGAGCCGCGAGGGCCGGTGAGGGGCAGAGCTGCATGGGCGGGGGACCAGAGGGATCCCTGGAGTCCTCAAGAAGTAAAACTAGGCCAGGGTAAGACCCTACGGAGCCCGTTAGAAGTTCTCAGATTACTTAATACTGTTCCTATTAATTTGTGCAGTGAGCATTTATGGAATGCTTACTGTATGCAAAGCAAGAGGCTAGAGGCCAGGGTGGGAGTCAGGTAGCAAGGGGAGATACGAAGAAGAAGCTGCATTTTCCAAGTTTTGTGATTAGTTTAGGGAAGTCGTTGGGCCGGGGTATGCGAGGTCATCTCCCACTTTTCTGTCCCCTTACCTCCTTGAGAAAAAGATGCCGGGAACCACGCGCTTCGCTCAGTGTAAGACTCCGCCCCTCCACTGGCCCTTTCTGGAGGTGTCCCACATGCCCCTTGGGTTAGTAGGTCTCCACGCCACAGCCATGCAGCCAGACGGGGCGTGCGTGTAGTGCTCAGCTTTCAATGAGACTGTGCGTGATGAAGACAAGATTTCCCTGGGTGTGACACCACCAGGAACCATCCCCTGGGTGAGTTCCAGTGTTGTCCAATCTGACCACCACTGACTCACTGGGTTCAGCCCTGGCCAGTGTCACCCGCCAACTCTGAAGCAGATCCATCCCCGTCATGTGAGTCTTGAGGTGGTCAGTCCTGGTGAAAAAGGAAACCAGCCTAGTTCTTCTGGCTAGTGCCACACTTTAGGATGTCCCAGGAATAATTTCTGTGACCCTGCACAAGTAATAAGCTAGAGGGTTTTTTTCTTCCTTCTGAGGTTTGTAGTGGACTGGCTGATAGCAGGCCTAGGATCTCTTATTCCATCCTGGACTGAGGGTTACGAGCCTCGAATTCTCTCCATTGTCCCTGAAACTACTCCCTGGAGGGTCTGACACATAACTGACCCAATGAGATGGTGGCTGATGGGGGCATCGGGTAGTCAAGGTGCTGACGTGGGAAGAGCCAGTTCAGCATCTCACCTGGATGTTGTTCAGACTAGAGCACTATGATGTGATATATGATGTGATTCATATGACATAGCGTGACATATGTGATGTGATATGATGTGATTACTATGATGTAACATGACATATATGTTGATATGGTGTGATGACGTGGGATGACATGTGATATGTGACATGATACGATGTGCTATGTGGTATAACATGGCATGACATGTGATATATGATATGTGATATGTGATATGATGTGGTATAACATGGCATGACATATGTGATACATGATATGAGGTATATGATTGTTTGATATCTAACATGACATACGACAGTAACAGCAACAATAGACTCTGGGTCCCCATGCGCACATTTTTATTTATTAAGATGCCACTTCCTACCTTCACACAGTGGAGCTTCCCAGAGGCCACGTGCTGTGGGGTGACATCGTGACACTGACCCTAGTAGAAAGTGTGCTCGTGTATTCCTGCATTCTAAAAACTTTTAATTTCTTTTTTTCTTTTTTTCATTGTTGTAATTAAATGAAGTTTACATTTCAAGTTAGTCTCCCATACAAAATTTTTATGCATACATTGTTATGAGACCCTAACTGCTCACCCCATTCTGCAACAGCACACTCCTCCTTTCC